GAATATATGCATAAATGAAACCCTGATCTCGCTTGTCTACTTCTCCTGGTGCCCTTCCATCAATGCATTCACATTCATATGTTGCATTTGATGGGATAGATGAAAAAGAAACGTTTGCTTGATCTAACTAAATATGGTAATCAGCAAAATACACATGCAACGTATATGCAACGATACGTTTCATTTTTTAACGGTAACGGGAACAAGTTCCTTTTTCACAAGTGGAACTTGTAACGGGAACGCGTTCCAAAAATCAGAAGGAACGAGGAAGCGGCTTTTGTTCCTTTTTTTTGAGGATCGCGTACAACACTGCCGTTATGCCAAGCGTTTGACAGGGCCGTGGTCCCCGTGCAGGCGGAGATGGCAGCAACCTGTAGTGCGAGGAAGAAGTTTAGATGCATTCTTGGCACGCCGCCAACAAGGCCTCCTTACATACAACCTCCCTTCGGCGTAGGTTTGACTTGCTGTTTGGCCATTTGGCGATATGGCAGCACGAAGTGGTTCCCGTTCCTTTACCCCGTGTTTGCTGTCGTTTGTGTCCAATGAAGTGTCATGCCGAATTAGTGTTTAATCGCACAGCAAATGCAACGCGACCCGCCCTGGCTGCCCGCTTCATACAGCCTATCCAGAACATGCTTTAGTGGCGCCCTCTCGAGCCGTCGACACGGAGTGCGGCAGCCGTGAGCGCTCGCTGAGCTCACTACCCTTTTCTAGTTCACGGCCACTCAAGCGGCCAAGGACGTGATGAAGGAGGTTATTTTTTGCTTGTTTTTTTTTTTAATTTTAATTCGCCGATAAGTTTTAAGATAAAGCGAAATTCGAGAAAAGAAAAGTTTCATTAGGTTACTACGTTCAGTGCGCTCAGATTCGGTGCAAATTAAAAACCAGTAAAAAAGTCCTTGCAGGGCCCCTTTAAAGGATATTTTTTACTAAACATTATAATTACGGCCGCCGAGGCCACAGGCCTCGGCGGCCGCAATCGCTGTAGTCCCGACATCAGCAGCCAGTCGCATCGGTTTCTTCCGAGCGAACAGTGTGTTTCGGGTCCTCGCCGCTCAAAAACTGTGCGCTCACTACCGGACTCCCCGAGAAATGTTCTGTACTACCAGATCCTCGCGCTCTAAATCTGTGACTGGGCGCTCTACGGCTCCGTCATCAAACTGCCAGGCTTTGTGAGTATAGGGGAGGCTATAGCACCAGTAACTGTCCTAAAGCAAAAGCCTTAAAGGGATACTGAACCGAAATTTGAATTTCACAAAATAAGGCTCTAGAAGCGTTGAACGGGACTCTACGAACTCCGAAACATTGCTCGTACATCGATATCTCAAACGGATGGCTGCACTTTTCGAAAAGAAGGGCGCGATCAAGCGAGGCCTCTGACATCACTGTCCTCCGGGAGAATTTGAGAATGAGGGGGAGCGGCCTCGCTTCTTTCCTCCTCGCTTCGGTTCACCAGCTCGACACCGGACGTAGTGAGGAGGAGAGGGAATAACAATCGTGACGTCCCTGGCCTTGTCGGCCTCGTCGGCCGGGTTCAGTCGGGCGCTTCTTTTCTAAAAATATGGCGATCCGTTAGAGATATCGCTGTATGAGTGATGTTTTTGGGTTTTGCATCGTCCCACCTATTTGTCTAGCCTTGTTTTGTGAGTTCGAAATTTCGGTTCAGTATGTACAGAAACGAAATTACTTGAGCGCGAACTCTTTAACCGTCGCTTCAAAGTCGGCCAGCGAGAAGCGCAATGGGTATCGCGCTCGTGACGTCAAGTGTCTATGCACGGCAACGTCGATACACGGTCAAAGTACTGTAGTTGTGAGCCTTGCCGCTTGGTGGCGTCAACGCGTAACAATCTCTCCTATGGTAGTAATATGTGAGGACTGTACGCCATATGGCCTATACATAGTTTGCCCGTAACGTCGTTGCAGCCATGTAGGTATTGTGTCACGCGCGTTCGGTTCACCGTGTTAGTTTTACACCACAGAGGTAAGTAGCTCTAAGAAAGTAGAAAGTAGAAATAACCGTCAGTACTCAGCAGCGGCGACACCTGCAAGCTATACATGTACGGTATTCACTGGGTGCCATATTTGAGCGCGCTATTCACAGCGCATCCGGGGCGGGGGGTGTGGTTGGCCTGGAAGTGGTCACGCTCCTACCTAACGTCTGCAAATAACGGCGACCTTGACTGTATGGAATGAACGCTGCAGAAGCACTGTGGAGCTGAAACTGCAGCCAATGCCACAACCACGAGAGCTCGGGGTCGCTGCTCTGAAGCGTTCGTACGCTTCAGAGCCATATTGCCGCCAACTGGCGCTGCTTCTCGGGAACTCATGACGTGACGGCATTACAACGTAGCTTCACAGACTGCCACCAGACGCAAATCTGAAATGGGTTAATTCTTTTTAAAATTCGTTTTCTCGACTTCTCTGTTTGCGGCCCAGAAATACTAAGTGTTTCTGGGCTGCCGGCACATCATAGACCACATCTAAATAAATAAAAATAAGCCGAAACGTTTCGTTTACGAAGAAGGTTGAATATGATCCCCAATATCCGTAAATAACAATCGCACGTTAATATTTTAACCCCTGATAGCTGTATTTATCGTTATAAACGGCACAGTCTGGCAAGCACTCGGAGAGCAACCAGCGGAGAGCACGTCACATCCGGCGTAATCGTGACGTAGTCTCTCTCGGGATGAGCAAAGCTGCGGCGAAGCTGCGTCGTCAGGATCCGTTCCAGCCACCGAAGCGGTGAAAGCACGCTAGCTAGGGTGCCTACATGTTTCCGCCGCTCCGCTGGAGCGGAAACATGTAGGCACCCTAACGCCACACTCTAAAAAAAGTTTGTGCGTCTACATTCACGCACAACACTCGGAGAACCTATCAGCACAACTTACGGAGGCAGCTCAGCGAATGGCGATGCCGAAACATATGTTTAGACCAGAAAACGCAGTCTGAGTTGTGACATTAAGCAATGCAAGCGTGACGTTTTGCATTGCTTAATGTCACAACTCAGACTGCGTTTTTTGGTTTAAACATATGTTTCTGCATTGTCATTCGCTCAGCTTCCTCCGTAAGTTGCGGTGATTGGCTCTCCGAGCTTTGTGCGTGAAAGTAGACGCACAAACTTTTTTTAGAGTGCAGCCATCGGGCCACCGCAACCATACTTCGTTTCAGCTTCGGTCCGAGCGCGGCCGATGTTATGAGCCGAAGGGCCAATCAAACAGCGAAAGAGGCACAACGTCACGGCGTGCTCTCTGCAGTTGATAGGACTAGCCGGTATTCGCCGTCTCTCAGTGCGTGCTCCTCCGCCGGCTAGTCTTATCAAGCGCCGAGAGCACGCCATGACGCTGCGCTTTTTGCGGTGTTTGATTGGCCCTTCGACTCATAACATCGGCCGCGCTCGGACTGAAGCTGAAACGAAGTATAACCGCAAATCTGCTCAAGTGTGAATTTTGAGTGACGGGTTAATCTTCTATAATCTTGAAGAGGGAGAATAGCGACGTCTGGGGGGACACACCAAAAAAAGTCCCGTTGAGTGAGGAGTTTCTCCCTCCCCTCTTGTGCTGTCCGTAGAGCTGTCGGGATGATGTCAGGTTCAAAGCATGTATAATTCTAGGTGAGACAGTTATCGTTACTACCTGCCAAGGTTCCTAAGCTGGCGTTAGAAACGAGGCTTTAGCGACATCCACCAGGTGCTCTTTGCTAATCGTTTAATTTGTTTTAAAATTTATTTTCGTGACTTTTTTAACAAGATATTGGTGTGTCCAATGTACGGTGTAGTCCGATGTGATGCTGCTCCTTTGAACACGTATAGAACAAAAAATAAGTTGTAGTACCCCTTTAAAACGAATGGCATTTGCACGCGCGTTCATCAACGCCGTATTTTGGTTATTTACTTCAAATCTTTTATGCCGAAAAGGCGATCGCGTGCAGCGCGTGTATTTACATTCCCAGCATTCTACTTGGTGCTTGGGTGATTCAGCAATATGTCTATTGAAAAAGGTTGCTTCGAGAAGCTGGGGAATTTCATTAGCAATATTCCGAAGTCAGCTCCCTGACTAGCTGCTGACAAAAATTACGGAAACCTTGCCACAGGATTTCCTAGGGCTGGGGGGCTGCGATATCCTCTCTAAAATCGGTAGCCTCGCAGTATTGAGAAAAGTGTGCCTCTTGGCTACTAGCAGTAGCACTCGTTGTCTAAGGAAGGAGCGCGCGATGCAAGGCGCCTGCCACCAGGTCTGTGCCTTGAGCCTGAGTGCACGGCCCTCAGCGCATAAGCGGAAAGTTTTCCATTTTCCCCGAAGCGAGGGTATTTGCATTTCCGAGGAGCTCTTGTTCATCCTTTTTTTTTTTGTCTTCGCGCTGTTTTTAGGCTCTTAGCAGATAGAAAACCGTACATGTCATATAAAGCTGTAAGGAGAAAAAAAAACGCGAAATTGAGGAAACGTGGTACTGTTAGAGGTTGGTCGAGTTGGTTATTCATTAGAGAGACTAAGAAGACGATTGAAGTCGATGCCAGGTGTCTTCCGGATAATGTTGAGGAAGTTTTAGCCCGAAGTTACGCCTGCGTGCCACAGAAACTAATTTCACAGGTTCGGCAAAAATCACACCGGGACCGATGTCAGCGACGCCCGATACTGCGAAGAAATTCAGATTTTGAGTCACATGGACCGTGACATCAATGGAGGCTCGTGAGTGGATAGGTCGATGTGAACGGAGTCCGCTCGTCTTTCTTTTCAATCGTAAACTGTAAAATAATAATAATAATAATAATTTAGTAACAACGAAAGCTATACATTTTTGTCAGAAAGGGTTACTGCAATAGAAAGAAATGATACTATTTCAGTCCGCGGCCACGTGGACTTTTCTGAAAAGACTGAAAAGCCGAGCGCCTTTCACTCGCGGATAAAGAGCAAGAATTGGGTTGAAAAAAAAAAAAAAAAACTCAGAGCACTGTTAGTATCAAAAACCACCTACAGAATTAACAACACTCGCCTCAACAGTGAGCAACGGAAGGGCCCAAAGGGACTTAACCGTATGGCAATGAGAGTCGTTACCGGGTTACCGAAATGCACCGAGATAGGAGAACTGAAAACAATCGCCGGAATAAACTGTCTCAAAGATATCGCTCTAGGGGATAAATTAAGCCAGGTACTGAAGCTACAGAAGACAACAGCTGACAGCAATATCATGATGAAATTAGACATTGAATGCCCGGACACGCCTATCTCTAATCCTCCGCCACCGTAAGAGGATGATACAGTTGTGGACATGAAGCCTTTATAACGAAACTTAAGCAAAAAGCAAACGGGAAAAAGAAAAACAGCAGCTAAGAAACACAACTATATGACCTCTAAAAATTACTTGAAGACCCCGAGGCAGATATATACTACACCGATGCATCAAAAGTAGAGCGTCAGGTCGCCATCGCAGCACACAGATACAGGGACCAATTCAGAGTCACAAGAACGCTACCACCAAGAACGGGAGTAAAACAAGCGGAATTAATTGCTATCCAGCTGGCCATCGAAGCCGCAGCTTTCAGCCCACGCAAGCAAATCTAGATCTCCACAGACGCCAAGAAGGCTTTCGAGGAGTATCGTAACCCCTCGAGTAGAAGAAAAACGGCGCAAACCGTCAAAGCAATGGCACGCATATAAAGAAGCGAAGGAAGACAACTAACCATAAGTTGGATCCCGGGACACCAGGAAATTCCCGGAAACGACGCCGTGGACACTGCCGCACGGGTCTCCCTCCCTCCCCATCAATTACCCGGCCTTGGCACTGACAGCGACGACGTACGAAAATTGGACACTGGATCTCCAATCCAACCGGAAGCAGAAGAAGAAGTAGACCCCTTGGGACTCAAGGCTGTCAAATGCCAGGCACGCCGCTAGCGGCTCGGGAGCCTCCTCCGAAAATCCCCGCATCCCCTCCCAGCGGATAACTACAACCGTTGGGAGAAAGTATGCCTTAGAGGAACTATGCACCCATACAGCAATGATTCCCCAGCGCACAGCCATTTTCAAGAAAAGCAGACAAGCAGCGAAACAGCAAGAGCCAGAACTTCAGGACTCACAAGCAGGATCCTCGACCCAACCTAGGAACGAGAGTTTCTTTGAATACTGCGAGGAGACCATCTCAGAGACCCACGTCTTCTGGGACTGTCCCCGCACTGAAGAGACAAGAGGGAAAGCTTTAGAGGCATTACCACTTCAAATGCCACCGAATATCCTTGAATAATGGGTCCTGCCCACTGAATCCCCCGAGCATCGCAAGGCAACCCTCGATTACCTCCTTACATACGTGAAGGAAGCAAAACTCACACGATTCGCCTAAAAAAATTAACATAAACTCATTCACTTAAAAAAGATGACTTAAGTCAAGATCGGCGAGCGTATAATCACCTTCTTATAATTATAATAAAGACATTTTCCAACCAACCCACACACTGCAAATATGTTGATAAAAAGAAAAAAAAAACACTTGCACAGCCACGTGACATCTCTCCAGCCGAGTCGCGGTTTCGGTCTCAAGCAGTTGCGTATTTTGACTTCATTAAAAATGTACTTGACGCTGCGGCGAAATATTGATAGGGTAGTCTTCAAACAACAATAATAATTCGCCTGGCAAATTTTTTTTTTTTTTTAAATTTGGGAGGTGTGTGTGTGTGTATGTGTGTGTGTGTGGGAGGGGGGGGTTAGTTTAGAAACCCTGTACTTTACTTGAAGTACATTCTCTGAGCATTCACTGGTACCTTACTCAAGTATTTTTTTTTTTTTTTGTGATACTTTCTAACAAAAGTACAACTCCCGATTTCAAAAATGCATTCCCCAAATTAAAAAAAAAGAAGGCGTATTGTTATGTGAAAATGCGCTATCGTCTTCCGAGACGAGGTCATTTCTTTGAGTAAAGAAACGGCGACTATAAGACAAATACAAATAAGTGTCTTATAAATGTATCGAGTTAAATACTTCATCAACGAGAGTAAAGTAACTAGTCTGCGGCGACTTAATTCATATCATATTTGCCGCCATTTCCGAAAAAAAAAAAAAACTGATGCGCTCTTCTATTAGTTTTAAAGCAGTACATAACAACTGAAAAAAACACTGTATAGGTAATGAAAGGGCATCATATTGTGTTAAAAAGTACTTGCACTTTGAAAGTATATTGTATTTATAGTACTTTACTTCAAGTACACTGCACCTCGTGGACTTACTACATTACTTCAAGTACATAACTTCTCATTTACTATGTACTTTACCTCACTTTTTAGGTGTACGTCACGCAACACTGTCAACGAGCAAAACTGTCTGCAAAGTCAAGCTCAGGCAGTCCTAAATAGGAGTGTCGCAAACTTTTGTCGAACCTCGATCTTGACGTCGAACCTTCAAGCTTTCTGTGAAGTTCGAAGAAGTTTTACTTGGGGACAGTGTTGTCCGGCTTCTACACGAATATTTCGAATTTTGGGAAGTAAATAATTTAGAAAATATTTCGTTTTATATTTTCTAAAATGGTTTTCAATGTTTACAACGTACAGAAGCGAAAATATGCGCTTTAAACGCTTTCGTTAGTTAGTAATGTGAACCAGTGATGGCCAATGCACCCAACATATATTGCACTTTTCTTCGAAAATGAAAAAGCCAGTTGACTCCACCGCCGGGTGGAGTCAACTGGCTTTTTCATTTCCGCGCGTGCGCACAAAAATCGACCTTCAGTCTAACCTTTCGAACATCGCGTCGAAATTTCGAAAAAATTCGAAGTCGGTCGCATTCGAACTTGGGCAGGTTCGCGACACCCCCGGTTCTAAACCTCAAAGTAGAATTTATACATCCGCTGTACCTAATTCACCGAAAAACAAACACGTACAAAACGATTAGGCACGCAGAAGCAGAACCAGTTATTCAACGGGCAGAGACACCCCAAAAGTATTTTTTTATTATTTATTTATTTTGTCTAAAAATAAGCAAGTTGTAGTCATAGACACGCAAAAAAAGACCACAAAACACAACAAAATTTCCTCACGCGCGCGCGTTTTTTTTTTTATTTCTTTGTTTTGTTTTATTTGTTAAATAATCGATGATGGAATTTAGAAGCTTTCTAAGTGACATTTCTATAATATTTTAAACCGGCATTCCCAAAACATGTTTTTTGACGCAATCACGAACGCATTACGGCCCTTCTTTCTGAGATACCGAATATTGGAGTCCGAAGTGATGTCGCCTCCTGGCTCTTTATCCTCCATCGAAAAACATGGCGGCGCCGTGGCGCTCGGCACATGTAGCATTGAGGATGATCGGTGAGTCGGCGAATCGGACTAAGATCTCTTTTTTAGGTGCTCGACGGCCTCTCAGACTTCGAAACGAAAGTAGTCAGAGGGTCAAAACCACTTGGTTGTGTATGTGTGCCGTAGTTTCGGTTGTGACTCCGGCGAAACAGCCTTTCGCGCTGAGCCGGTGTAGGACGCCGATCTCACTACCCCTCCGCTTCGACTACGGTAGTGGTTATGGCGTACGCCAAAATCAATACCGTAGTCGTTTCGGCGTACGCCATAGCCAATACCGTAGTCTTTTTCGCATACCCCAAACACACTACCCTTACGCCAAATTCAATACCTTGAATAACGTCGGTTGAGCAGGGATTGAGCCAATTGAGCTCCGCATTCCGCTAAAACTGGCGGAAGTAACTTTCTGCAGCAAAATACCCTGATTGTTTGTTGTTGTTTGTATGAGCAGCGGAACGCGCACGGCAGGCGTTGTTAATTTTGATTAGCGTTGATACGGCGGCGCACAAAGCTGAAGGGCACAAGCAAGGAAGCTTGGAGTGATTCTGTGTCGATGTGATTTGACGTCGCTTCTTTCTGTTTCTTCAATCATGGTGCAAATGCAGGTGCCCGACTCCCGAACGATTCGAAGGCAAGAGTGGTAGCCCGCCTATCCGCTGGTCTTTCAATCGCATGCACTGTCGTCATTTTGGGCACAGCGGAAGAAAATAAGACGCTCACTTTTTTAACGTGCGATCGGCCTGTCTAGGTTTTGGCGACACCGTTTCAGGCTGTAGATGAGAAAATTTAGCCACTACAGTACGACTGCTAGCCTGGGGTCTGTGCCTCACAACAAATCGAAACGGGTGGGGGTGGGGATCCCTGGCAGCGGGACCTTTCGCCGTACGAGCTGCGGTGCGCTAACACGCTCGACCTCCGATACCCCCTTGGGTCACAGCGCTTGCTGAAAGAAGTTTGGATCGTTTTACGCAGATTCTGCAGTGCGTACGAGACGCACAACTACGTACTACGTCCTAGATGCCCAAACTGAGGCTCGCTACTTGTGCGCGGCTCCCGTGATCTGGGGAACAGCCATGAAAATGTTGCATTGAGAAGTACGAAAAAGTAATATAAAAGTAGAGTATTTAAAACTGGCTTGCATTGTCAATGAACATCTGATATTAAAACTGATTAGGAATGGCGATCAGATCGGGTGGGAATGTGATATAGATCATTAAATAGGCTCGGATTATGTGCGAAATTTTGTCGGAACAGGTGGCAGGTTCAAACTCGTTGCCCCCATCCCTGTTCCTATATTCTTCCAATGTGGCAGGTTCTTTTTTTTTGTTTGTGTGTGTGTGTGTGTGTGTGTGTGTGTGTGTGTGTGTGTGTGTGTGTGTGTGTGTGTGTGTGTGTGTGTGTGTGTGTGTGTGTGTGTTTAGAGCTGCAGTTTTCTATACTTCATCTCCCCTTAGCATGGACTGTTAGCCAGATTCTACAAGTGTGAGCTAATTGCTTTGGATCACACCATGGTGGTTGCACGAGTGCTCATTCACTGCAAGCGCTGTGAAGGCAGTCGAGGCTATACCATCTTGTGCTTGCGCTGCCTTTGCGGTTTGAGGTCCTTTGTTTTGGCCTGTTCTTTTGTGTCTGGGTTTCATGTTCTTTTTGTTTCTTGTTTTGTGTGCTGGATATGGTTGGAAGTTATGTTACGCCTAGTAGTAGGATCTTTTGTAGAAACATCGGTTTGAGAGTAAGTGGTTCTATAGTCAGTTACAGGTTAAGAAGGTAGCGGCAAATGCCCCTCAAAGGGAATCAGATATCCCTCCGCCACCTCCGCATCCAATAGCGTCCCACCGCTCCCGTGACGTCGCGGCCAACGCGCGAGGAGGGTCTTGCCTTTCTGTACATATTTGCTTTATCTTTGGACTTTGACTTAGCATTGTGGAAGCCACGAGAAGGAGATTAGAGTTCTCCCCCACCGACG